ACACACACACACACACACACACACACACACACACACACACACACCTGTGTGGAGTTCATGCATCGTTTCAACTCTGTAATACAGTTTTGTTCATGCAATTATTCACATTTAAATGAACTGTCTGTGCTACATTAACAGGCAGACACGAAGCAAAAGCTGCCAATTATCTTGCATTCATTTATTCTTGTTACCTTGTTTATAAATGAGTTGATTGATTACAGTAAAACCCCTTTAGTTGGCATCTGCTCTGTGATTTACTGTATGCAGCACAGGAGCTAAATTAAAAGCTGCGTTTATAAATCTGTTCCTGACATGCTGCTGGTCTACTCTGCCTCACAGAGCCTCCTCCAACACACAAGCTTCATTACTCAAGTGCTGCTGTAAATGCACTTTATGTGTTTGAACCCCCACCCTCCGGCGTCCTCTCTGTAAATTTAGGATCTTGGTAAATTTTTGGGTTGGTTCTGTTCACAAGTTTTATTTTTAACATTCTCTGCCTGCCTGACGTAAGAAGGGAGGATCTCTGCAAAGAGAAATATTGATCGAATGCGACGAGTCGCTTTCTTTTCTTTTAAATTCCCTGTAGGTTAGAGAACAGGAGGCCTGACACAAATGGCTTCTCCATCGGCTCTTAACTGCCAAAGACAGTCATCGGGCATGCATGTCTTCTGTCCCACAGCAATATTGTTTCTTCTTTATCTGCCACTTCTGTTTACCAGGACAACCTCTCAGCTCTCGCCTCAGAAAATGAAACTCCTGAGAAAATGGGCTCATGCACTTTTTTCATGCATCTAAGTTTTTGTTGAATAGTTTTGAAACATTATGTTTGTTCATTTTGAGCCATATTTTTGCTTTTCTCGGTGCGAGCTACTGATAAATCTGGGGTAAAGCTCGCAAAACAAGTACAARTCCGATTTTTGTTTTACAAAAAAGAGCCATAAGAATTATCRCGAGAAMAGATTACAACCATCCATCTAATACATTATTTTGTAAACTGAAATTTTTGAAATTCTATGGTTTGATTGACTACAATATTTT